AGAGCCCAATAGGCTCAGGAATCTGTACACCAGTTGATTGACGGTTGAGAGGCGGGACCAAAGAGCCAGAGCTCAACCCCCGCAAGCACAATTAGGTGAGTACAATTAGGTGAGTACACAATCTTGCAATCTTTCCACAGGGGTACCAGGTGATAAGAAAAGAAAGGACACAGAGACAGGGAGGAGGAGTGGCACTCCTAATAAAGCGGAAATGGAAGTTTGATGCGCTGGAAAATCCGGGTACCAATGAAAGCACGAGCTCCATACATGGAACTCTGACAGTGGATGGGAAGAAGATTGTAATCTTGATACTCTACAATCCCCCACCAAACAGTAGAAGGCCCAGGCAGGAGTACGAGGACAGCAACAAGACATGTATAGATGAACTGCAGAGGGCAGCAACTATAGCACATAGAATGAGAGCGAAGCTGCTGGTCATGGGGGACCTAAATCACGGAGAGATAGATTGGGAAACGAGGAATCCCCATGGCGGGGAGGAGACCTGGGGAGCGAAGCTGGTAGACGTTATTGACAGGAATTTCCTAACACAGCATGTGAAGGAAGATACTAGGGAAAGAGGAGGGGATACGCCCAGCCTATTAGATCTCATTTTCACCCACAATGTAGAAGACATCGAGCAGTTGGAACATGATATACCACTAGGAGCCAGTGACCATTGTGTCCTAGTCTTTGACTACATGATGGAGCTTAAAATTGTGACCAAAGGACAAGAGGTCCGGGAAAGGAGACTTGATTACAGAAAAGGGGACTACAGAAGGATAAGGGACTACCTGGGAGAAGTGCAGTGGGAGGAAGAACTTAGAGGAAAATCAGTGCAAGGTATGATGAACCAGGTCATATTGAAATGCAGGGAGGCTGAAGAGAGATTTATTCCAACAATAAAGGAAAAAAGCAGGAGGGAATATAATAACCCATGGTTTAATAGACAGTGTCAGGAAGCAAAGGCGAGAAGCAGGAGGGAGTGGAGGAAGTACAGAAGACAAAGGACAGAGGACAACAGGATTAGATGTAACAGAGCTAGGAATGATTACATTAACATAAGACGAGTGTCGGAAAGAAATTATGAGAATGATATTGCAGTCAAAGCGAAAAAGCAACCTAAACTACTACGTAGCCATATAAGAAGGAAGATGTCGGTAAATGACCAAGTGACAAGACTGAGGAAAACAGAAGGGGCATATACAGAAAGCGACAAGGAAATCTGCGAGGTACTGAATGCAAAATTCCATGGAGTGTTCACAACCGAGCCTGAGCAGCTCCCATTGTTAGAAGCGATTACCCTAGATGTAAGACTATCAGATATAGAGGTGACAGCAGAGGAGGTAATGAAACAGTTGACAACACTGGATGCAAATAAAGCTGTTGGACCAGACAAGGTATCACCGTGGATACTTAAAGAGGCAGCGCAGGCTCTCAGCGTGCCTCTGGCAATGATCTTTAATGAGTCATTTATGTCGGGAGAATTGCCCAGTTGCTGGAAGGAGGCAAATGTCGTACCGATTTTCAAGAAAGGTGATAGGGAGGAGGCACTTAACTACAGACCCGTATCACTGACAAGCATCCCCTGCAAAATACTTGAAAGAATAATTAGGCTAAGACTTGTTGAGCACCTGGAGAGCATTGGGTTTGTAAACAAGCACCAACATGGGTTCTGGACAGGGAAATCATGCCTAACAAACCTTTTAGAATTCTATGATAAAGTAACAAGGATAAGGCAGGACAGAGAAGGCTGGGCAGACTGCATATTTCTTGACTGCCAAAAGGCCTTTGATACAGTACCGCACATGAGACTGCTATACAAACTTGAGAGGCAGGCAGGAGTAAGCGGAAAGGCCCTAGAATGGGTAAAGAACTACCTAATAGGAAGGAGCCAGAGGGTAATGGTAAGGGGCGAGAAGTCGGACTGGCGAACAGTAACAAGTGGAGTACCTCTAGGATTGATGATGGGACCAATCCTCTTTCTAATATACGTAAATGATATGTTTACAGGAGTGGAATCATACATGTCAATGTTTGCGGATGACGCAAAATTAATGAGAAGAGTTGTTCCAAGATCCTCCAAGAGGACTTAAACAGGTTGCAGAGATGGTCAGGAAAATGGCTACTGGAGTTTAACACCAGTAAATGTAAAGTTATGGAAATGGGATCGGGTGATAGAAGACCAAAGGGACAGTACACAATGAAGGGGAACAGCCTACCTGTAATGATTCGAGAAAGAGACCTGGGAGTGGATGTGACACCTAATCTAACTCCTGAGGCACATATAAATAGGATAACGACAGCAGCGTACTCTACACTGGCGAAAATTAGAACTTCATTCAGAAACCTAAATGAGGAGGCTTTTAGGGCGCTTTACACTGTCTACGTGAGACCCGTCTTAGAGTATGCCGCGCCATCATGGAGCCCCCACCTGAAGAAACACATAAAGAAACTGGAGAAGGTCCAGAGGTTTGCGACGAGGCTTGTCCCAGAGTTACGAGGGATGGGATATGAAGAGCTTCTGCAGGAACTGAACCTTACGACACTAGAGAAAAGAAGGGAGAGAGGAGATATGATAGGGATATATAAAATACTCAGAGGAATTGACAAAGTGGAAATAGATGAAATGTTCACACGTAATAATAACAGAACGAGGGGACATGGGTGGAAACTGGAAACTCAGATGAGTCACAGAGATGTTAGGAAGTTTTCTTTTAGCGTGAGAGTAGTGGAAAAATGGAATGCACTTGGGGAACAGGTTGTGGAAGCAAATACTATTCATACTTTTAAAACTAGGTATGATAGGGAAATGGTACAGGAGTCATTGCTGTAAACAACCGATTGCTGGAAAGGCGGGATCCAAGAGTCAATGCTCGATCCTGCAAGCACAAATAGGTGAGTACACACACACACACAGTGTCCTTGTCCTTGTATACCATGTCAAGGCCAGTGTCCTTGACTTGTATACCATGTAAGGTGATGGAGAAGAGCGTGAGAAAAAAACTAGTAACACATCTGGAGAGAAGGGACTTCGTGACAAATCGCCAACATGGGTTCAGGGAGGGGAAAATCTTGCCTGACTGGCTTAATAGAATTCTAAAACCAGGTGACAAAGATTAAGCAAGAAAGAGAAGGCTGGGCGGACTGCATTTTCTTGGATTGTCGGAAAGCCATTTTCTTGGACTGTCAAAAGTCGGTAATATTTGACACAGTACTGCATAAGAGGCTGGTACGTAAGCTGGAGAGACAGGCAGGTGTAGCTGGTAAGGTGCTCCAGTGGATAAGGGAGTACTTAAGCAATAGGAAGCAGAGAGTTACGGAGAGGGGTGAGACCTCAGATTGGCGTGAAGTCACCAGTGTAGTCTCACAGTGCTCTGTACTCGGTAAAATCTTGTTTCTGATATATGTAAATGATCTCCCGGAGGGTATAGATTCATTTCTCTCAATGTTTGCTGACGATGCAAAAATTATGAGAACGATTAAGACAGAGGAGGACTGCTTGATGCTTCAAGAAGACCTAGACAAGCTGAAGGAATGGTCGAACAAATGGTTGATAGAGTTTAAGCCAAGCGAATGCAATGTAATAAAGATAGGTGTAGGGAGCAGGAGGCCAGATACAAGGTATCATCTGGGAGAGGAAATTCATCAAGAGTCAGAGAGAGAAAAAGACTTGGGAGTTGATATCACGCCAGACCTGTCCCCTGCAGCAAATATCAAGAGGATAACATCAGCGGCATATGCCAAGCTGCCCAACATAAGAACGGCATTCAGAAACTTGTGTAAGCAATCATTCAGAACTTTGTATACCACATATGTCAGGCCAATCCTGGAGTATGCTGCCCCAGCATGGAGTCCATATCTAGTCAATGATAAGTCTAAACTGGAAAAGGTCCAAAGGTTTGCCACCAGACTAGTACCCGAGCTGAGAGGTATGAACTACGAGGAGAGACTACGGGAATCAAACCTCACTTCGCTGGAAGACAGAAGAGTTAGGGGGTCATGATCACAACATTCAAGATTCTCAAGGGAATTGATAGGGGTAGATAAAGACAGGTTATTTAACACAAGGGGCACACGTACCAGAGGACACAGGTGGAAAATGAGTGTCCAAACGAGCCACAGAGATATTAGAAAGAACTTCTTTAGTGTCAGAGTGGTTGACAAATTTAATGCATTAGGCAGTGATGTGGTGGAGGCTGGCTCCATACACAGTTTCAAGTGTAGATATGATAGAGTCCAATAGGCTCAGGAACCTGTACACCTGTTGATTGACGATTGAGAGGCGGGACCAAAGAGCCAGAGCTCAACCCCCGCAAGCACAATTAGGTGAGTGCAAACATACCACATACGTACACACATACTATGTGTTTAAAATACAGCAATAATAAAATACGGCTATATTATAAGGTTTGTACAGCTATTACTTATATCAATTAAGTAAGTACACCCTATGTGTGTGGAGAGACTGCGTGTGAGCTATGGAAGCATTCTTTTCATATTTTTCTAAGACGCTCACCCATATATTCCTCATAGTTTGCCAACAGCAATTTTGGAGTTATTCATACGATAACGTCAATTTTGGAGTTATCACTCCTGGCTACACGAGAAATCACATTAGTACTCTCATATCTTAATATCTCAGGTCCAATATCACTTCTCTTCTCTTCATCCCGACTTATAAGCTCTATTTACACAACGAACGAGCCTCTGTCATTATATAATTGCCCTAAATACTAATGCTGCATAAATCAGTCACAGTTCTGGTGTATAACGAGTAAAATATTTAACACCAAAGAAACAGTAATGTGTTTTTTTACAATCAGACACTCACCCATACCTATCTCCCCGTCTCATATTCTTTGTGAAATGTTAGCGCATTCTTTCATGGTATTTATTCCGAGTATCAATAACTTTGTGATATTAAGTAGTAAAGAGAAGAAACAAAATAATGATATACATCGGCATATGATTTTTATTTATTTATTCACTCTGTAGTGGTTTCATATGTAAGGAACGTTATATAATTTTAAATTATATCAGTTGTTGTCTTTTTAGTGTGTAATATCCTCTTGGAATTGTAGTTTCCTTGACAACATCATTTCTTGCACTCCTGACTTCGATAACGGATGATCCAAATAGTGTGTTTGCCTGGGCGACGTTCTCCCCCAGCAGGGTGAGGAAGGTGTTACTGAGGCGAGGAGCAGCAGTGTGCGAGTTTCTCCCCCAGCAGGGTGAGGAAGGTGTTACTGAGGCGAGGAGAAGCAGTGTGCGAGTTTCTTCCCCAGCAGTGTGAGGAAGGTGTTACTGAGGCGAGGAGCAGCAGTGGGCGAGGTTCTCCCCCAGCAGGGTGAGGAAGGCGACGCTGGAGCCTAACAGCAGCATGTAGAAGGCTCCCTGCAGATGGTTGAGGCTCAGCACCATCTGCTGCCCTTCATCCTGACAGTCAGGAGTGGAAGGTGCATTAGATGTTAAAGGAATATCTAGTAACATGAACGTTCAATGTGTACGCTGACTTTTGGACGGTATTAAATGAAAATTACCTTTAATGCATCTCCGAGATTAATCCAATTTTCATCTTTTACAGCCTTCCTCTCCTCCCTCACCTTACTGGCTATTACGTCTTCAGTCCAGTAAGTAATAATTCCTGCAGCATTTAGGCGAGCCATTAGTTGACGGAATCGTTGATGAAATGGTGCACCTTTTCTAAAGAGTACAAATTAGTGAATATACATTCCTGGTTAATATATTAGAATATGTGTGGACCTCAAATATATGTTAATTTTTATTCATTCAACACAAAATTTTCCTTCGGTGTTGAAATCATCTTTAATAAGAACATATGAACAAAGGTAACTGCAGAAGGCCTATTGATCCCTACTATGCAGCTCCTATTTATAACCACCCAATCCCATTCATATACATGTCCAACCTATGCTTAAAACACTAGAGAGACCTCACCTCCACTACGTTAAGCGGTAATTGGTTCCACAAATCAACAACCCTGTTACCAAACAAGTATTTACCCAAGTCTTTCCTAAATCTAATCTTATCCAGTTTATATCCATTGTTTCGTGTTCTGTCTTGTGTTGATATTTTTAATACCCTATTAATATCCCGCTTTGTTATGTCCAGTAATCCACTTGTAAAACTCTATCATGTCACCCGTAGCTCTTCGCCTTTCCAATGAATACAATTTAAGCTTTGTTAATCTTTCTTCATATGAAAGATTTCTAATTTCAAAAACTATTATTCTAAAAAAAACATAGCTGAAATAATCATCCCATTCTCCTAATCATGCGTTTATTACACATACAGTTTAATGTTAAAATTCGAATAGTAAATTTTATAGTTTTCTATATTCCTAATGCAAATTTTGCTAATCAGTTGAAATTTCATGCACTTTGGTCATGAGTTTCCATTGGTATTTGTACAGTTTATTAAGCTTATTTCTGTTTAGTTTATGAAATTTTTTTCTCACGTTCCTTCACAGTACAGATGCACTTCCCATGAAGAAAACTAACCTGGTGCTCCATACCGACCAAAAAAACATTGGTATATCGCTGCTGATGTAGAAGGGAGTATTGCCTCTAGCGTCCGTGTATCGAGTTGCGACGTAGATAGTGACGAAGCTCTTGTAGATGATGAAGGAGAATCCCCCTTCCAGCGCCTTCTTTAGCGCCTTGTCCACATGAATGACCTAGCGAGCAGTGTTTAAATGAAGACTTGTCTGTTTAATTTATGAAGGTTTTTCGTGTTTAAAGGAAATAACTTTCATTATTCTGTAACATTTTGTTTCATACTATATCAGGCAAACTATTAGCATTCACCGTTTGTAATAATTTATATATAAAATTTCCACTTAATTTAGAGAACATTTTTAGACAAATGTATGCACTTGGGGGAAAATTAATACATTGTTAAGTGGTTCCAGCACAGGAGTAACCTGACGAAGAGCCTCATATTAACTGTTAATAATAAAGAATGTTTCAATAACACACTTATATAATATAGAAAGGACGTTGTAAATAGATTCAATAATAAGGTGAACGACTAGAATTAGCTTCAATGGCTCCGGTGTTTGTTATGTAATCAAATTATTAGTTATGATATTACATTATGTGGGAAAACGTTTGTTACGTTACCGGTAAGTAAGTGCATAACTCGTTAAATATGCTTATATTTGATAGATAATAGTAATTAAATAATTCATCAATGAATAATATAAAGTTAGTTTATATTATACATTGTTTGTAGTTTATATTAGCAATCACATTCTTCTACTTCGCAGGATTTTTTGCCGTGCTCCGTATTGTCTATTTAGGACGAGGCCTTCCTTTCTCAGGTCTCGGGCGCTGACTATGGCTCTGCTTCAACGACATCATGGCTAACTCCGGGGCTCTGGGAAAGTCATCAGAGGATCCTGGGTGACTTTGAAGGACCAAAAATATCTGAATATAATTATTGCTCTATTCAGATATTTTTGGTCCTTGATTCCGTCTGTGGAAGCTGTTTTACTCCGGAGGGGAAAACTTCTTTCACCTTCCTTCTATGTAAGTTTCTTTTTTTCTAGAATAGACGTGGCCGCACGTTTACAATGTTAACCAGCATATATACATTTGTTTCTGTCCTCCATGGTCAAGGTTATAGATCTGTTAAGCGCATAGTTCAGTGATTTATTAAACAATCAACCTATGTACGTGCTGGATTTCTTGGTTGCTTTCCAGCACTTATCCTGGAGAACTTCAATGTTTCGTTCGGTTCTACAGAAAAGTCTAATTTCAAGACGTAGGTTTCTCTTCGTGCTGAACGGCGTTTAATCCCCGACAGTCTAAACGGTTGGGGTTCCATTTCTGCCCACTATCCCATCCCAGATCATTATCCCTGATCCTTTCTAAGTGCTATAGGTGTAATGGCAACCGTTTTCCCCTGCTAATTCACTTCCCTTGCGTTTCTTATTTTTTGGCTCAGGCGGAGATCTTTCGGTTAAATACTGTGGAATCAGGACCTCGCTTCCTATATGGACCCAGCTTTCCTTGACAGGAAAGCTTGTGCTTTTTGGCTTTGGTACAAAAGTCCAGATTCATTCTGACTTGCTGACAACCTTCTTCCTTTGTGGTGGTGTAAAATAGTTTTTATTGTTCCAGACGTTTGAGTGGTGGTAATTGAGATCAGTCATACAGGAGTTCTTCGGTGGTGTTTCTTCAAATCCATTCGAGAACTGCTTGCTTGTTCCGGTTTTCCACAATAACACGGGGAGATGGCGGCTTCATGCCCAGCTTTCTGTGCACTATAGATATATATAGTTTTATCTATACTTAATTTCTCTAATAACCTACTAGAGGACCCAAAGCAGAAAACGGGATAGCACGTCACTTTCGCGAGCCGCTTCCATTTTCTAGTATGACAATATTTTTTGCCTACTGTAACGCATACGAGCGAAATGCAACATTCTTTGTAAGAAAGATTGCCAGGGCAGCCAGGATATTCTGGCGTTTATGCTTTGTGTAGCTGCCTTGTTGCCAGTGGTTCCGGCTTCAGTGGCTCTGCCCAAGTTGCTAATTCTCTTCATTTAGGAGGTGGAGGCAGCCTTGTACCTGGCCCAAATTGTGTGCCGGCGGCCAGTTGACACTTCCTATTTTCACCTCTTCCTTTTCCAGAGTAGGTAGTGTCTAGAGTCCTTTCAGCTACTATTGCTGTCTTTATGCCTTTCACTTTAGTTTTGCTACAAAGGTTCTCTTCCTTCTGCTTGTAGGTAATCCTCGGGAGCTAGGGCCTCACCTTTTATTGACCAGGTTACGTCTCCGATGGAGTCAGATTCCAGGACCGATTCTTGACCTCTCAGGATTTAACTTAATTCTCTGTCTAACCTTCTTCATGGTCACCTAAGCTCACATTTGACCGGTGTTTCAGACTAGTTCCTGGACGGTGTCCCTTGACCTAAAACACGTCCCTATTCATCCAACGTTCCAGGACTGGTTATGGTTTCCTGTGGGGTATCAAGATTACCTATTAAAGGTTCCGGCCTTTATCTTGAATCTGGCTACTAGGATCGTGGCCAGGTTAGTGCGAGTGGATGTATTGCAACTGTATATCTTGAAGGCTCATGTCTAGTCCTTTCTCTTTGAATGTTAGCTTGGGCTTCAAAGCCAGTCCGAGTGTTAGGTAGCCAGTTTCTGGTTCTAATGGAGATTGTTAGGTTTGGGTTCCAGATGAACTGGCTGAAGTCTTAGTTGGTTAAGTCCTGGACATATTCCAACACACAGAAGCTACTGATAACATACAGAAGCAATAAATATGCAAATGGCTACACATGTTCGTGTATTGTGTGTGATTGAAAGGATGATAAAAAAAGCAAAAATTGCCATCAGCATCCACCTACCCTGCCAGAGAAGCGGAGGGTTCTGAGGGCAAGTTCTGAAGGAGAGCGCCCCAGGCGTATAGGATTGTGGTGTTGAGCGCCACCGGACGCCCTCCAGCCACCCACTGCCACGCCCTCTGCAGCAGCCACAGGATCACACCCCACCCAACCACACTCACCAGCAGCGCCACCCACAACTTTCCTGCAGGAAGGCCTTGACAATTAATTACTATTTTCTATATGTTTATGTCATATTAATAAATAATTATATAAAATAAATAAGGGATAATATTAATCAATATAAAACGTATGAATTGCACTTCGATTGCAGCTGATTCAGGTCTCTAACACTGTATGTCAATTTATTTAGTCTGACTCTAATGTCAGTTAATTACAAAAAAAAAAAATCATCCTGTAACTTGAAATTATTTTCTTATGTAACCTAATTCTTAAAGCTAAACCTGCATTCATTTCTTGGGAGTCCTTAAAAAAAATTATGTCATAATCTCCCTCCTTCCAGGTGAATTCATATTTAAGTATATATATATTAATAAACACTTTAACCTGGGTCGTAAATAAACGTGGAGATTTAATAAGCAATTGATAAAATTAACTAATCCTAAGATAAAAATATTTAGATTATTTGCCACGTAATTTAAGGGAAGCAAAGTTTAGGTCTATACAAAAGTCTTTCTTTTAACTTAATTCTCCTCTCTTAACTTACATTTATGAAATTTAGGTGTTATTTTAGTGTTTTATATTTTGTAATAGTTATAAACCAAATTTGCAAATTATATTGGTACGGCTAAGACTTTACGTCTAAATATGAATGTATTATACATATAATGTGTTATGTATATCAGTACTCATTCATAATATCAGTAGTCGCATTTAGGTGCTGAACATCCAGTTTATGTCATTGAAGCTTCAAGAATTTTATTAAAAAAATTATTGATTAGTTTACCTAGCTGTAAGTTCTAGTCATTTGGTTTTCACAAAATAATCAACAGAGCAAACACTCGAGAGTTTGCAAAACAAGAAACAGTATATACCCCTTGAATACTCAATTCATTTGGTTTTTAAACTTTTTTAGAATACTGCGTATTTATGTAGTCGATCAATTTAATTCTATGTTATATGCCTAACAACTGTGATTCGACGAAACAGTTATAATAAATTGAAAACTTTATTTTAATATTGCGTTGTGCTCCATGAGATGAGAAAACTATGTCTCCTATGGTATGGTAAAATTACTAATAGAGCAGTGGCTATTAGGGCAGATGGATTGTCATGCACATTAAAAAGAAAAAAGTAAAACCAAAGTAAATTAAATTGCTATGTTAATCTCTTCACTGTGTGGTAGCTTTAGGATAAATTACAAAGAATAAAAATTTAAATACTTTACTATGACCAAAAATCACTTTAAAAATTTACAATAAATAAAAATAGTGCCTCTATGACTTAGCTGAATAACACAGTGCAAAAATATAAAAACAGACAAGTGAACGTTACATTAAGATCAAAATAAATGGTGCTGGAATACTATGAACAAGACTGCATAAATTTTCCACCACACAGGGTAGAGTGGAAGCAGGTGTCGCAAGTATGAGCACTAAAAGAATATTCTGCTTGGTGGTGGCTGGTTGGCTTCTATATATACGTGGGCTTGATCGTGCAGTCGGCGCTGATGTGTCGATAATTGCCAGCCGGCAGACGCAAACTAGCAAGGTGTTTGTCGACCGGCGTATGGCACGGGCCTTAATGCAGATGCCAAGTGTCCTGGGGTCTAGGGCACTAGGGTGTAGAGAGGTGTCCCTCTCTACACAAGGTATACCTTGACTCCTCTCAAGGTACACCTTGAGAGGAGTCAAGGTGTATATAGTTGTTGTTGCTCTTGCTGCTAATTCGTTATTCTTGAACATGGAGCCGTGTTGTGGTTCAACATGCGATGAAGGAATAGGTTCAATCTCTTTTCCTAGAGAGACTATTGTGACACCTAAAACAATGAGAAAAATATCCCTCCTACTGCTATGCTTGAAAAAGACTGAACACAGCTCACTATGGCTGGCAGAATTATCACCGATAATTGATTTAGATAAACCAATGAAGATGCGACCAACGAAGATTTTATCAATCATCCAAGTACCAACCTTGTTTCTATTGACCCACAATCTATAGTGATATACAAACATCTCAGTTCTGGAATTTTGAGAAAGCTACCACAAAAGAAGCAAAAAAAAAAAAAAAAATGCTTTTAAAAAAGTTAAAATTCTTTATGACCTCCAGGCATACTTTAATTAGCTCAATATTTAATAATTTATATTGTACTGTGGAAGATATATATTCACGCACCTTAACTATAGTATCTCTCACTCTCTCTCTCTTTCTTTTTTAAATTGAGACTTGCGTTCATTAGGCAGGGAGCTCATGTTTCTCTACAAGCTAAGGGCTGTTATCATAAAAACCTCGTCAGCGCCTCTCTCTCTCTTATTATCATTATACAGTATAGTGAAATATACCTTCAAATGGACGTATGAGAGCGAGGTACTTTGGCAGCAGCGTTGGCTTGAGGGAGGTTATTGTAAAGGTGTCGGAAGGATAAGCAATGAAAAATTCAACCACTTTGGTGCGCTTTGCCGTCGGTGCTGTTAGAGTGGTAAAGTCCATTTCCTCCCGCTGGAGCAGACCGATCGACCCCGTGAAGGTGCCGTTTATCTCCACTCCCCAGGTGCGGTTGACGGCTTCGTGGACATCGAAACTGTTGGCAAAATGGCAAAGATAAGAATCCTCAGTGTGAGGAAATAATATATTAAGGGTTGTTGTTAAATTAAAGATAATGGCATTTTATTATAAATTTATCTGATTTTATACATATATACATATATATATATATATATATATATATATATATATATATATATATATATATATATATATATATATATATATATATATATATATATATATATAATATATATATATATATATATATATAGCTGGAAGAAGGGGGACCCATAGCCTCGGAGGAAATCACGCATAACGCATTAGAGGGAATGTTTAGATCCCCTCCAATACAGTTTCTGTGTGCTTTTCTCCTACCACCCTACTAATATATATATATATATATATATATATATATATA